TTCCAGACATCTGCTTCTTTTCATTGGATACTTCGATAGTCGTATCGTTATGTTCTCCTTTTAGAACAGGGCTTATATGCTTACAGTGAGGAAGGCCTGGGTGGACATTAGGCATCTCCTTCACTTGTATCAGGCAATGGCAGCGTGTTGAGCATGAAAATAACAGAGGGAAGCCAATGGGAAACGCACAAGGTCCCAACAACAGCTCACTTATTTACAGTACAACAGTAAAGAGGTGCGACAAAGTAGTGAGGCCAGGGGGAGCCAGCCACGTGAGTGTGTGTGGGTGTGTGTACAGCCTTCCAGAGTGCTGCTCGTGAATGTTCTAGAACACCCACTGAAGCGGCCTGGGACCCCCGCGACTCGCACCATCTGCCATGTGCCCGCACGGCGAACGGCAGGTGCCTGTCGGACGGGGGCAGTGAGGACGTGTACGGGACTCACGTGTTTCTGCACTCATCTGATTTTCCCCCAGCACAATGCCGCCTGTGTGTGAATCACTGAATTATTACTGACTCCTGGGGGGCGCCATTCATGTTGCTGCAAACTGCAGTTAATGTCGCGGCGTAAATAAGCTTAACTGGTATTGTACGAAACTTGGGCTAATTTGTTTCCCTCTACTCAGGATATTTTAAAATGTACATGACTGGAAACTTTAATTGGTACAAAGTATTAACAATTGACTTGATATTCAAGATTCTGAGCCCATTAGCCGGTCTTGTTGGTATGTGTTGCCCCTGAGGTGCTGTGCATTTGTTAACAGGATTGGAGAGATTTGCTTGATTGCTTCCGTCAGATGATAAAAAAAATAACAGTCTCAAACTATTTAGCTTCAGGCAGTGAGCAGCCCAGGCAAGGCCAGTGGCAGTAATTGGTCTCAGATGACTGACAAATTTTTGCAGTGTTACACCCACTCACAGCCCTGCTGCGGTCTGGGAGCCAGTCTAGGCTGGCCTGTCCCCTTCATGCTGTCTTCATCTTGGAGGATTGTCAACAAGACCAATCAGGCATTCAGTCAATTATTACATTTATCAATACACTGAGGGTCTCAGGTAAGGTTGCAAAGGGGCAGTAAATTTCTGGAACCTTTCCATTCTATGGAAAGCTAAGCTGGGGAATTTTGGAACTATTCCAAGTTGGAAACTTTCCATGGGAATTATTGGGAATATATGTGAATTAATGGGGAATTCACAAAATTTTGCAACCCTAGTCTCGGGTAAATTGTCTTTACATTGATGACTTTGTGTTCTTGCCCCTGGTGTGAAGTGTCTTCATTGAGGACTTTATGTTCTGACCTTAGGTAAAGAGAACCTGGTGTCAGCAAACTATGTGGACCCCAATGCAGAGATACCTGGGATGAGTGAAGATGAGGAGAGGAAACATGATCATGCCTTCAGTGTTTCTGAGAAAGAAAGAAGTCTTGATGAGAATCAAGAAGAGATGCTTCTCATCCCCAATCCAGAGCTAAGGGCATTCTACAACTTCTCAAGTAGGTCCATTAGAAGTCAGGTCCATTAAAGGATATTGAGTGAACATACCTTCCAAAGACAAGAAGAAACCATGAAAAATCTCTGATTTAGAGAGGCAGAAGGACATGTGTGGATGGTAATGAGCAATCAACGCCATTAAAGGCAGGGTCTGCATTTCGCATTGAAGGTGTGTGTCTGTGTGAGCACCTCATTCCCTCACCAGAGCCTTCCTCTCTTGGTGGGTTCCTGACGTTCTCAATACTCTGGCCCATTCGCTCATTCATAAGATAAATTTCTGACTGGAGGACATTTGATCAATTGGTCGAAACTCTTCACCAATCACCTTGCAGAATGCAGCTGCTGATAAGGTATTAAATCTTCCTTGAGTCCCAGCCTCTAAGCACTGATGGTCTCCTAAGCCACAAGCTTTAGGGTGAAGAGGGGGTGCTTACCTGTGCATTGTCAGCTGCATCAGACGGAAATGAGTTGCCTGTCCGGGATTAGCAGTGTAAACTAGCAGACCTGGCCAGTGAAGGTGAGAGTGGAACGGACCCCTAGAGCAGGCGGGGGTCACGGAGCCACTGCGACAGGCTTGTTTGGTGACATTTAACCGGGAGCAGCTGGTACTGATGGGGGGGGGGGGGGGGGGGGGGCTGATGTCCACGTATCCCACCAGCCCTGGCACAGAGTCCCAATGAGATCATCTCTCTCCCCCTCACAGGCACTGAGAGTGATGTCGGGCACAAGCGGCTGAAGCGACAGCGTGGGGCCCCCGCAGGTAAGAGATGAGGGACCCCACTCACACGGCGTAGAGGGCTAGTGGGGAGCTGGGTGACCAATCACATTTAAGGATCTTCCAATATGGAACTGCAGGACAGCAGTCCTGTTACCATCTCCATCCAGCAGATGAAAGAGAATCAGCTCCAAAGAATGAGCGAGCTATGAAAGAGTGAATAACACAGGAACAAGGAAGGGACAAGAATGACTCCTTGGTGGAATTCATACCTACCTGATTATTACATTTTTACGCTGAATACTGAGACAAACTTGCAATATCTAACTCCACACGATTGCCTGACCTCCTGCCAGACTCCACACGACCATTTGACCTGCTGACTGATTCCACACGAATGTCTAACCTCCCTCCTGACTCCGATCACCTGACGATCACCTGACCTCCCTCCTGACTCCGATCACCTGACGATCATCTGACCACCCACTTGACTCCACACGATCGTCTGACCTCCCTCCTGACTCCACACGATCACCTGACCTCCCGCCTGACTCCACACGATCACCTGACCTCCCACTTGACTCCACACGATCGTCTGACCTCCTTCCTGACTCCACACGATCACCTGACCTCCCACTTGACTCCACACGATCGTCTGACCTCCTTCCTGACTCCACACGATCACCTGACCTC